TCAGCTCCCCCTCGTTCGACTCGGGCATTCTTCCTTTCAAGCGCATGATAGAACGAAGGTAACAAGAAAAACAAACGCGTCTTTCCACTTACGATCATACCCCTCGCAGATTCTGATTCACGCAGAACATTCCGGATGCGCAAATATATTATATTCGCTCTCACACCTCAAAATGGCAACCCGTAACAATGGCCGCCGCACCCCGAAACGGTAACCATACGCGCGACTTTCGCGCTTTGTGCGGGAATAAATAGAACGCGACGCCCTGCTGGCATTCTCTAATTCCAGCGTTCACTTCTGGTGTTCTTTATCGTTATCCATTTCTCTCAACTCACAACCTAGGAAAAGCCCCAACACTCGTCGCGCCTCCAAGTAAGCAGTTTCTCTCTAGTGATCACTGATCGCTGCCTTCTAGACTAGAACTCTTTGGACAAGGAACGCACTTGCGATTATCATATGCTCGCACCTCCGGGACGCCCAGCTTCCAACCCCACCAATCTGATCGCTCCTCGCAGAGTGTGACTCGTGAGGAGGAGACGAGGAATCCTCCTGTCACAGATCTGCATCTCCGTGCATTAGGCATTCTTATTGATATTGTGTTCCTCATCGATGACTTTGTAGGGCGCCCAGCGATGGGAATCCACTGAGGCCGACGAGCGGATTCTAAGGTTGCATTGGAGCGAAGACGGGTGAACGGATTTGGCATCGGCGAGGACTGTTATGTTGTGGCTTAATTCTACTTGCTGAATCAAGACAATCTATTGATTTAGGATGTGCTGAGCGCCGGGAAACACGGTCCATTACGCCACACTGAGCAGTCCTATGGATTTGGCGTGCACCTCGTGCAGGGCACATGGTGTAGTTGGTTTATCACGCCCGCTTAGCATGCGGGAGGTGTTGGGTTCAATTCCCAATGTGTCCATTTCGCCTTCAAAAAAGTGTTTTGTTGCGATACCGCACGTTATGGTTATGGCGCTGTGTTTTTGTGTGACGGATTCCTCAAGTTCTAACATTACCAGCGAATCAACTGAATGAACCCATAATATCTGTTCTGCATCACCACCATGCCATGCTGACGGGCAGAAGATAGAACACGCGAGGAGTTGAGAAATCCAGCCATCGCATGTCGACTCGCAGGGGCACATAATGTAGTTGGTGTATCGCGCCCGCTGTGTTGGGTTCAATCCCCACTGTGTCCATTAGCAACATCACCCTGAGTTGATGACTTTTTTGTGCAACCTCCCGAGCCGAGCCATACGTCGTTGGGTAAATCACTAAAGATGTATATTTCAGGACTCCCATAATTCTGCTAGCCACTATGGGGCGGTACTCTTTCCTTACTGAGCGGAGGGTGCTGCACGGACAAGCCGTTCGTTTACTTGTTACACACCACCAACGAAAACGAACAAATTTGGAAAAAAATCTTGAGCATCACACTATCCTATCCTACGCTACCTCACCTCGGGGGCGTATACCGCCCCTGGCCAACAAAAAAACCCGGGCCCTGGGGCATGCCATTCCACATCTCCTGCGGATGCTGATGTGGCGGCGGCGGCGGAGGCGCCCACCCCGAATAGCCCCACTGCTGCTGTTGCTGCTGCTGCACACCCACACCCACCGCAGGAGACCCCCACACCGCGCCCGCAGGCGCCGTATTCCTTCTCCCGCCCGCACTCCCCACAATCTCGTCCTCCTCCTCCACCAGCGCCTTGCTCCCGAGCTTCGGCGACGCAGGCGAGGCCGTCCCGCTCCCGCCCGCGCTCCCAATGTTAGACGAGGACCCGATGACACCTGGGAACGCGCTCCCCGAGGCCGAGGGCGGCGGAGGCGCGATGATCCCCGCAGAGGACGATCCGATGACGCCTGCCGAGGAAGAACCGATGATTCCAGCGGATGAAGAACCGATGATCCCAGCAGATGAAGACCCGATTACCCCAGCCGAGTTGGGCGGGGGCGGCGGGCCGCCACCGATGACGCCGACACCCATAGGTCGCGCTATCGGGTTCACGCTTGCCCGTCGCGGCTGGGGCGCTGGCATCTGCTGTTGGGGTGGCGGAGGAGGCGGCGCGAACCCGCCGTTCACGAAGCGCTGCACGGGGACCATGGCGGGGTTTGGTGTAGGAGGCATGTACATGGGGGGAACATACTGCTGTTGCTGTGGAGGAACAGGTCGCTGGGCTTGTTGGGGGATGGAGTAGAGCGGTGGCGGTGCGGTCGGCTTTCGTTGTGGCTGCTGGGGCTTGGGCAGGATCTTCTTGACGCCATTCGCCTGGGTTGGTGTCGGCGCTGGTGTGGGCTTGGCGGCCTCCCGTTGCTTGCGCTCCCGCTCCTTGCGCTCACGCTCTAGGCGTTCCTTCTCCTCCTTGGCGTCATTCTCCCTCTTCTCCCTCTCTTCCTTTTCCCGCTCCTTCCTTAACCGTTCCCTCTCTTCGCGCTCTTTCCTCTCCTTCTCCTCGCGTTCCTTCCTCTCCTTCTCCTCCTTCTTCCTTCGCTCTTCGCGTTCGCGATCCTCCTTGTCCTTCTTCTCGCGATGACGTTTCTCCTCCTCCTCGCGCTTCTTACGCTTCTCCTCCTCCTTCTTTAGGCGCTCCTCCTCTGCGGCTTTACGAACAGCCTCCCTCCTGACGCGCTCCTCCTCCCGCTTGCGTTTCTGCTGTTCCTCGAGGGCGTTCTGTTTTGCCTTGATCTCTGCCTCCTCTGCAGCCTTGGTCGCAGCCTTGACCGCCTTCTCCTCCTCCTTGGCCTGCTTTTGCTGGCGCTTCTTGTCCTTCTTCTTCTCTTTCTCCCGCTGCTTCTTGGCCTCTCGCTCCTTTGTGACCTTGTCCTCGTCCTCGAGCTCGCGAAGAAGTTGGAGCTGCCGTTCCTGGGCGACCTTTTCGCGATAGGCATGTAGCACTCGTTGTTCAAACATGCGTGCGGCGAAAATGCTGAACATCCGCTTTCCTTCTTCCATCTTTTGCTCTTCCGTCAAGATCTGCGAAATCGTAAGCGACAGCTGAAACATACGGAAAAAAACACACACCTCTTCCTCCTCGTCATCGTCGTCATCTTCATCATCCTCATCATCGTCCTCATCGTCTTCATCCTCGCTCCCGCCACCTGCGCCATCACTGCCTGCATCCTCCTCACTACTTTCGCTCTCCACGTCGCCCGCCGCTTCCTCCTCCCGCTGCATACGCCGCTCCGCTAGCTGCTCCATCATCTCCAAAAATTTCTGTCCATCATTCTTCAAAAGATCATCCGCCACCGTCAAAATGTTCCCAGGCCCCGTCACAGTCAGACTCCCGCCGAGACTAAACAGCCCCGGAGCAGGCGGCGCCGATGTCTCCCGCACTCCCGCCCCGTCCCTTGCCGGATCCCGCCCTCCTACGCTCGCTACCGGCACACCGGCACCAACACCGGCATCTCCATCCGGCACATCCTCCTCCTCGTCCTCATCCTCTTCATCGTCCTCCTCCACCTCGTATTCGTCATCGCCGCCGGGACTAGCGGGTGTAGGCGGCAGCGGGTCTTTGTGTCGGCCGCGTGCATGCAGATGAGAAGGCTGGACAACCGCCCCGTCGCGGTCTAGCTCCACGCTCCAGGAAACGGACCCGGGCCGGGTGGGGGCGGGATAGTCCCCCCAGAGGATACGTAGCGTTGTTGATAGTGCGCATACTGCTCTAGTTCCTCGTAGTATGCGTCGTATAGCACTTCCAGCTCCTCTTCAATGGCGTTTCTGGTGGCGAGACGCGCGCGATAATCAGATCGGAGACCGTTTCCGCGGAAAAAGACGCACCTTTTCCTGCCGCACACCGCGCAGCCACACGAATGCCGCTGCTGCTCCTTCATCTTGCGCAGCACCGCCTCCTTCTCCACCTTGACCAGCCCCCGCCGCTCGTCCACGCTCAGCCCCAGCCAAAACTCCTTAATCCGCTCCCGCTCCTCCGTCGACGACGTGCTCCAGATCTTTTTCGCCTTTTCCTTGTCCTTGGTGGCGTCTCGCTGTGGCCCGCCGTTCGGGTGCGGATGCGTAGGCGGCGGCACCTTTCCTTTCCCTTTGCCTTTCGTCGCACCCGCTCCAGTCCCGCCGCCGTTCGCCGCGCTCGTGTACGCCATTGGCTTTTTCCCGATCGACACTTGTGACGGCTGGCGCCCTACCGGTGCCATTGTCGTGGTACGGTGAAAAGAATTTACAGGGCTAGGGCGCTGAGTAAGCCGGTGGCTGCGTCGCGCGCATCGAGGTTAGGGTTCGGCATATCGGCTAGAACGCGTCTACAAAATGTCGTATTTCACTTTCCGCATTCCTCTCATCGTCTTCCTGTGTCAGCAACACCGTGACTCGTGCAGCGCACCAAGTGGACGTCGTGGCACCTAACACTACAGTTTCATTCAATGCTAGGAATATCTTTCGACGCGAATTGCTGCCCGAGTTTTCTTATATCATTCAAGCTGTTCCCACCGATTCCGACATATCTTGAGGCGCAAAAGAATGTGAGACCGCCTTTGTCCGCCCTCCAGGGCACATGGTGTAGTTGGTTTATCACGCCCGCTTAGCATGCGGGAGGTGTTGGGTTCAATTCCCAATGTGTCCACTCAAGTGAGGTAGACGGTCTTCTTTTATCTTTTGTATATCCTGACTGGTCTTCCAGAGATATTGTTTCAACTTGCATCTAACCACTCGAGAACCGATACTTTGCATGCCACGAATGCATTTACTTACTAGAACCTGCGCCACACTGCGCCTGCAGCAACTCTTAAGCCCACGTTTCTGACTCCCACGTGGGTCGTACGACGATTTGAACACCTGGGATATACATACTCAACGGTGTAGCCGAGTAAACTCTGCTGACTTGGGTGGCGCACCACATACTTAAGTCGTTTTGCCACACTAGTTAACGATAGGTAAAAAAACGGTAACGAAACACAGAGCGTTGGACTGGACCGTTTATGAACCTAGCACCGGGCGCGGGAGGTTCGAATTTTACTGCTGCCCAAAAAATTCCTCCATTTTCCCATCATAGACACATTGGGAATCAAGCCCAACACCTCCCACATGCTACGGAGGCGTGATAATCCAACTACACCATGTGCCCTGTGAGCTACCACGTCCGCCTGCATCAGTTTACGGGCGCAAGGGTCCTGCGAATCAATGAGGCGTACATCCTTTACCAGCAAAGTTCATTTTCGGCAATACAGTACACACTATGAACTAAAACAATGTGCCCCTACGTATGAATTCATTTTTAAGAGTGTCCGAAAACGGCCTGAGTCTGATACGGCTCCTCCAAGTACTCCTTCTCCTCATCCGTAAGTGTGATGTGCGTTGCGGCTGTGAACAATGTCAAACGAGGGCGTGGAGGAAGGCAAATACGACTACTAACCTATCAGCTCCTTCAAGTTCTCGATCGACGACGTGCCAACAATGGGTGCTGCGACACCTGAAGATTATTAGTACTACGGACGACACCTATTTCAGGGTACACGTACCTGGGCGACTGAGCACCCACGCCAAAGCGAGCTGGGCCATAGTCAAGCCCCTTTTCTTCGCAATCTCTTCGACCCTACAGGCGAGTTCAGCCTCTTCTATCCAGAAGCATAGGAAACGAACCTGTTGATGATGTCGTCGTTCTTCTTATAACCTTGCTGTACCCTAAGTACCAACACCATCAGCCCGTGCCTGGCAGTGGTTGGAAGAGGGCATACCTGTCGCTGGTACCTCTCTTCGTCTGCTCACACAACGGCCTAGTGAGTAAACCGCGCGCGAGGGGCGACCATGGGATGGATCCGACGCCAAAGTGCTATGAAGATCAAAAAATACGAACACAAACATATGAAGAGCCCAAGTTGGTACCTGCAGTGTAGGAAACATCTCGCGTTCTTCCTCTCGATAGACCAAGCTGTAATGGTTCTGCATCGAGATGAACGGCGTCAGATGGCGCGTGATCGCGTAATCTGTGCAGTGAAGAGGTTAGCATCACCGGCTGAATAAGAGAGGCTACTCTGCATGATATGGACTGTTCGGCGACTTGATTAGCAATGAGTCAACGGTGAGAAGGAGAATGTAGTCACATTGATAGGCGTGGCAAGACGACATCCCGATGTAGCGGACCCAACCGGCTTTCACAACGTCGTGGAGAGCTTGCATCTACACGCCTAGTTAAGTATGTCGCAGTGAACAGATGAACCGAAAGGAACGCGCCGTCTCCTCAATAGGTGTATTGTAGTCAAAGCGATGACCTATTACGCTGGCATGTCAGAATTAAAAGCAAGCGCCTTGAACGGTAGACCATGTACATTGGAGAACATCGATGTAATCGAGACCGAGACGCTCGAGACTGTTTTTCACAGAGTGGAAAATATGCTGTGGGCGGGCGAAAGGAAATTCAGCGGTACTTTCCGGCGAGTGGCCAGATACATACCTTGCGACTTAAGCCATGCTGGTTAGCGTAGCCCTTACTATCGAGTCCCGGTGCCCCAAACAGCTGATCGCCAACGTTATGCGTCGACACCGCGCCCCAGACCTACGCAGCATTATAAATGATGAACAGCAAAAGCCGCACGTCGTACATACCTTGGTGAGAACGACTATTTCCTCCCGCGGAAGATCGTACTGCTTAATCGCCTTGCCGAGGATCTTCTCCGATTCGCCATTGGAGTACACCTGCAGCTATGAGTGAGCGCGAGGCGATAAGGATAAACACTGACATCGGCCGTGTCGAACGCGTTGATGCCGGCATCGTAGCTGTGAACGACTTCATAAGTAGGGTAGGGAAGGGTATGGATATAGGACTCACGCTGCCTTGATGTGCTTCACACCCTCGTCGGCGTCCAACACCCAGTCGTACCACGCCGGGCTCCCGAACGACATGCACCCCATGATGATCTTGGATACCTTCAATCCCGAGTTTCCCAGACGCACTACCGAAAGGTCTGACTCCACTGTCTGGTTTGAAGGGCAAAGAACGGACGTACCGTATTCAATCTTCTTGCCAGTGGTCTCAGCCATGATGGGAGGAGCGATTCGGCTTTTGATATGATATGAATCTGTAATGAGTCAGAAGGATTACAGTGAGCGAGGAGTAAGCAAGCTTAAGCCGAGTTGACGAAAGCAATCGGCTTTTATAGACGATCGTTGATGAGAAGAGAAGTTGGAGCGAGAAGTGCCTCCGTCATACATGATGGTGGCATGACATAGTTCATAGTTCACGGGAAAGCAATGACGCGAGTCGCCCACGGAGAGGAGCATGCAGAAGGCGAGGAGGGTTAGCCGTAGGATCGCACAAACAGCACACCAAGAAGCGGATGCTCTGGGGATCATCTGCCTCTTCGAAGGATCTCGTTCGTCGGAATACTTTGTCGGTGAAGAAAGTTTCAAAGGAACTCACACATGATAGTAGCCATCCTTTCCTCGAATCACTACTCGCCAGCACGCGCACTATCCTGTCCTGCTTGCGGGAGCGGCCGTCGAGCATGAATATGAACGTAGTGGAGATGGCGGACGCAGTATGAGTCCTTGCAACTCGATGTTTCAGGGATGAGAGATAGTGTCCCTACGTCGTTTGCGGGCGTGTAGAATCTATCCTGGCGGCAGCCGCTTGTACCTCGCAAACAAGGCAAGCTATTCCCATTAAGTGTTGGTTTGAACCAGGAAAAAGACGTATAGGGAGTGTTCTGGAGGGGGCGATAATGGCGGTCAATTTGACCTTGTCCTTACGTTACGTGACTTCGTCCCGCGTACTCGGGCCGCTTGCCGAAACGTGGTTTTGCCCTTCATCTAGGTGCACAAGCTGGCGACTAAAGTGTCAGGGTATCGCTTGCTTTTCGTTCTTCTTTTTACGCAGCCGGTCACTTCTCTCAGTCCTGCCTTGAAGGGACTTACAGCGATGACGTGCCAACTTTCGAATTTTATGTCGAGCATAAACTACCTGCCTATCACGACACGCCACCTCCTTACTGTCCTCTGCACGTCTAGTATCTGGTGGCGATGTCGATCTCTTGTGTCAACTGGAACCTGCTTGCTTCGTGGTAGGCATGAGGACCAAGATGAGGACCTATTTTAGGAGTCATAGCAGCGGCATACTGTTATACCAGCGAAATGTACGCATCTTTCCCGGGCTACACTCCGAGATTCTCAGGGGTATGAACTCGAGGCGCAAAACATCCTTTGGATCTACCTTGAAATGTGCAGCATGGGAATAAATTCAAGACTCCGCTTCTTCAAGATTACCTCTGTCTCCAAAGGTTCAAGGACGCTTTTTTACCTCTAACACAACGTGGACGCTTATGATTACATGTCAAAGTAGATATCTGCTCCGCTGACTCGATGGCGAGACGGGGTGAGTCTCGCTCTTCACCCTCATCTCGCACTAAGCTTCAGATCCCTTGAAGGATCGGCGAATGAGAATGTAGATCGCTACCGCGTGTTTTGTGCTCGTGTCTGTCCATGAGACACAGCCGGGACCCACTATGGTCCCAGCTCAACTCCTCGACATGCCTACAACAATACTGCTGGGTATCCTCGGGCCTAGTCGTCTCTCGGTGTCGCTATTCTCACACACAATTACGTCGCTGGCGAGTCCTTCAACCTCGTTCAAAAACAAGAGTTCTCCCGCAGGCTTCTAATTCCGCTCCTGCTTCAAAGCGGTCGCTCCGGCGTATCCCCATTCCGAGGAGCACACTGAGCTTCGTTAACTTCGTTCTCGTCGCAACACGTTAACTGAATTCGCTAGGTCATTCCGCCTCTCTTGGCAAATGAATGTCGCGGTGGCGGCGTACCATGGGCTTGGGTTTAATCGTGGATGGATGGAATTGTCGTGTCAACTTGTCAACTTGCAGTTTTGAGTAGGCCGCCAACACTCCTCCGCCACGAGCCCCATTAAGAATGCTTCCGGGCCGGGCATAGAGGGGAACTTGGTGTCAACCCTGGAAACGTTTGGCTTCCCCATTTACCTTTCCGCCAACATCATTAGCATCAGCTTTCGACGGCCGGCTCCAAAGGGACTTACATACGCGATGGCGATGACTGGGCATCAACGACGGATATGCTTCATCCATCTCGACGTCCAACAGCAAGACCGAGACACCGAACATCCAGCGTCCACTGGTGTCGCACCCGACGCAGAATGAAATGGCTTTGGTCATTTGTCATCTAGTGTGCGGTCCTAGTGTCCTGGTCCTGCATCAATCTTTGATCAAACATGGTGCTGTCATAACTGTTACCTGCGCGTAACAAATTCTTACCCACAGTTACCCTTCGACTTTACATCATCATCAAACTGCTGGCGTTGATGTGCTCTGGATCCGTTTAAAAGAGGCGAGTCGTCTCATCTATACTTCAGCTTACCGTGCCTACCACTCTTCCTCAGCCCCTCACTCGGTAAAATGTAGGCTGGTTACTTCGATCCCTTATCCTTGCTAACGAGGTGCGACATTGCAGGGCGTACTTCCTTCCGCTCACCCGCGTCATTGCGACTTCGAATGCGGAGCAATATCATGTCGTAGAGATTACCGGGGCGCCTAATGGAAGCTATATCCGAGAGCGAATCCTTTCCAAGGTGCGTAGCGGACATTTTCCGGCTGGGGCAGTTGATAATCCACGCATAGCTGTGTATACCCGACGACAGTCATTCCCACTTCCGCATCTACAAATCACAAGTCGGCGCGTACGCCACGAGTAACGAGCTTTCCGATTCTACGATGTTCGACCTCTGCATGCAACACGGCGACGCGTCGGGCTCGCTCACGTTCTTCGTGTCGACACGTCCCGACAGGCCGCCTCCGAAAATAGAGCCAGACTATTCCGATAGCTATCTGCTGTCCAAGCCATCACAGTACGTCCCTTTTCTCGTCTCGAGTTGTACCCCATCCCGGCAACGTCGTGATATCTCCTTCCTTTGTTCGTGCCCATGGGTACTTTCTTGTCTGCCTTCCATATGCTCTCGGCAGCCCCGCCTTACCCGTCATCGCTGACCCTTTGCCACCTGTCCAGGAGTCGCCGCCATTATGCAAGAGGGTCGTAATAGCAGGTGCTGAAGTGCGCGCGCGCTTGGTGCAGGGTGGTTCCCATCGATTTGTATTGTTTCCTTACTCGATA